GATCTTCTACCGATAGCAAATATCGGACCTGCAAACTAGTTTTCTAGGAAAATAATTAAAAAACAATAGAAGCTCTGTAAACTAAAAGGTGCAAACGGGAACTTATGATATAACTGATGTACAATATAACTTCGAACCTGTTCCAATGCATCCTTAGCAACGTCAATAAGACCGGATGATATGTTTTGGATGACCTTTTCCAGTTGATCCATAGTGTCAATAGAAGAAATCGAAGAAGACGAGCCACTTCGTCTGTACAAAATGACGGCTTTTACTTGACATTTTTCTGCTATACATCATCTACACCTAGCTTGACATGGGTTTTTCTCGAATCAATAAGAGAGATTGTGGAACTATATGTGGAACCACCTGCTATCCTAGAGTTTGTAGTAGAAGCAACCTACTAACAATGCTGAATATTGCAATAGATTGTAATAAAGATGCTCTTTCAAAATGACAAACCACAACTCTAACTGTACTAAGCGAGTAAACAGCTCTGACAAACTTCTGAAATACCAACCTCAAAGGAGTAGTCGGAAATTGAGGAGCAGGAGGATTTCTTGTCGGTTGCCGAAATTGGATTTTGTCCATCTCAAGTAGGACTTGAGTTGAGTTCAAATTTGTGGGGCCCTGCTCCACATACTGTAACAGAAAAAATAAGTGAGTGAAAATAATCATAATGCAGCCGAAACAAACCTCATCGTCAATTGTGTAACGAGGAGGATAAGCTGAAGACGACTCCTTGGTTCCTTCCTCACCTTGGGTGAAAGTACCGTTTAATTCTACAATGAATAATTGTCATTTCAGGCATGACTGAGCGAAATGGAGTGAAAATGCTACCTCTCTCGCCTTCCGGACTGTTCTCCCTTGTACGACCTTCAGAATTATCTCGTCTTAATGAAGCGCTGCGACTAGATGGACGGCGAACCGCAGACCCAGCTGGAATAACGAAATCTAGTCTTTTTATGGAAAATCGATGTGGAGCAAAATATGTGCACAATGTTTCGCAATTCGAATCTACGACAAAGTGCACCTTGTGGGAAAAAGCATCGGCACTTATCTTCACGATTCTCGACCGTTCAAACAACAAAATGAGCGATCTTCAACAGATCAAAACAATGATTATGTAAGATGAGGAATCGAAGAAATACTAAATGCATCGGGCTCACAGCGAAAGTTGGCACTGTTGCCTCAACTCTACAAACTCAATCTCATATTGCTTATAAGTGTGATGAAAAAGTTGCACAGCCTCCAGGTTTCCTAATATATTTTCACAGAATAGATCTGTGTGTCATGCATAACATACTATTTGCTCGTTTAGCAAATGAACCCTTAATTCTACAGTACCTCATTTTCACCATGAACTTGGACAAATATATGTAATTTATATGTAGGAAATTGTCCACAAAACTGACATCCTGCAGGCACCACTATCTTTGCACCGCCGACCCTTACGGGTGCGCCACCACGAGGTGCGGCGCTTCCTGGAGCTGCTCCTGATCGCTTGATGCGCTCCTCTACCATGGCACGCTCTTTGTCACCCATTTTGCCCACATTGCGCCACATCTAAAAATTCAGAATATGGAACACAGAAGAAGTGAGCTGGAAGTAGGGAAACACTAGAAAAAAGGAATACCTGATCGCCTTCTTCTCGATAGCACGCCACTAACCCATTTATTGCAGCGTTTCTCACATTATTATCGCGGTCACTCACGCAAGCCGCAATTGCCTTATGAATACCCTGTAAAAAAAACGATGAAAGAAATTGGCGCAACCGAACGGAGTCACTTGTTAATTACACCGCGTGTTGTAATTGAACCACTGCCAAACGAACAGATTGTGCATTTCAAGAAAATGAGTCAAGGACAGTTTTACAAACCAGAGACTTGAGTTGGGTAAGCCCCGCACGGGCGATGTACAGCTCGAGCACTTGCAGACATTCTGCTCGCTGACGGGCGTTTTTCGTCTTCAAAGCGTCTACAAAGTATTTGCATACAGTGTGAGCAATACTTCCG